TTATTTAATCAAGCATCCAGTAAATAATGGCCTAAAATCTTCATAGTCACACCATAGCAACCAGTTACAGCACCCTAGCAACCGTGGGCGATAGGCACGAGGCCGCAGGCCTCGTGCCATACTAAATAACTCTATAAAAACTCTATAAAAACTCATTTTAGAGACTAAATAGTAATCATCTGTTAAAAAATACACGCCGACATCACAGACCCCTGATTGAGGCGTCAAATTGTGCGGATTATTGAGGAGAGGTGTGCTGTGACTTTTCGTAGCGATCGGGGGTACGGTGTTCGCCCCAGGGGCAAATCATTGGGTAAAAAAGTCCCATAGACTTTTAGTGTTTTCCTACTATGGTAAATTGCATAGGGATTTTGTATTGAACATAGCTCTGGATCACAGTGTCATAGAGACAAGGGGGCGGGCTCATTTTACTCAGACGACCAATCAGTCTCTCAGCATCATTGTGAAGCTATTAAGCCACGCCCTAGCAACCATTTAGAGCACCTTAGCAACAACTCCCATAGACTTCCATTAAAAGAGATCAAAGGGATATCTCAGGATATAAGGTCATAGAAACATGAGGGTGGGCTCGTTTGACTTGGGCCAGCAAACAGCCAATCATGAATCACCTCAACAATTTCTGGCCATGCCTAGCAACCATTGTAGAGCACCTTAGCAACCAAAATCCAAAGAGGGATATCTTCCATTCTGAATGTCATAGAGGCATGGGAGTTGGTTTATATCATTCATACTGACAAGCAGCCTTTGGAGTTTCATGATTGGCAGCTACCAAGCCACTCCCTAGCAACCAAACAGAGTACCCTAGCAACCATTTTGCAAGACTTTATCTCTGCATCAAAACATCGTATAGAGATGGAGGTTGGTTCATACATTCACATTGACTTTGGAGCTTCATGATTGGCAGCTGCCAAGCCACTCCCTAGCAACCAAACAGAGTACCCTAGCAACCATTTTGTAAGACCTACATCTCTGCATCAAAACATCGTATAGAGATGGGGGTTGGCTCTTTTTACTCATGCTAGCAAACATGACTTGCTACATGCTACACATGCTAGCAGAGAATAGCTACATGCTAATATTGATTAGCTAAGTGCTAAATCATGCCAAGAAAATGCTACAAAACTTCATAGTAACCATCTTGTGACAACTACCAACCTCCTAGCAACAACCTAGCAAACCACCCAGAACACGCTAGCAACACCCTAGCAACCACCCAGAATACCCTAGCAACCGCCTAACCACACCATAGCAACCACCCAGAACACCCTAGCAACCACCAAGAACACCCTAGCAACCACCCAAAATACCCTAGCAACCGCCCATCAACACCATAGCAACCACCCATAACACCCTAGCAACCACCTAGCAACACCTAGCAACCACCTAGCAACACCCTAGCAACTGCCTAGCAACACCCTAGCAACCACCCAGAACACCCTAGCAACCGCCTAGCAACACCCTAGCAACCACCCAAAACACCCTAGCAACCACCTAGCAACCACCAGAACACCCTAGCAACCACCCAGCAACACCCTAGCAACCACCCAGAATACCCTAGCAACCACATAGCAACCACCTAGCAACACCCAGAAAACTTAGCAACCAACAATAATACCCTAGCAACCGCCTAGCAACCACCCAGAACACCATAGCAACCAGCCATAACACCCTAGCAACCGGGTGGTGAGTTTGCCACTGCAAGCACCACTTCACATTTTCCTCTGGAAATGTACATTCTAGTGTTGTGAATACTATTCTCCAAGACAAAACTTTGGCACGCTACTCCTCCCGCATTTTTTGTCACAGACACATGAATGAGGTGTCAAATCGACCAGCTCGTTAAGGAGAGGTGTGCTATGACTTTTCTAAGCAATCGGTTGTACGATGTTCGTCTGGCGGGCGATAAATCGGACAGAAAAAGTCCCATAGACTTAACATTGGCACAAAATTGGTGAGATCATATCTTTTGAACAGAAGGTCATAGAGACATGGGGTTGGGCTCATTTTACTCGGCCTATCATGCAGCCAAGAAGTAGAGACATAATAACTTCATATTTACGCCCTAGCAACCACTTAGGGCAGCCTAGCAACCATAAATCAACATATTCAAGTCATTTCTCAGCTTCAGAAAATAGAAGAAACATGGATTTTGCCTTTTTTGATTTAGACTGTCAACTAGTGTTTAAATATAATCTCATACACTGTATAATCACACCATAGCAACCATATAGAGTACCCTAGTAACCACCTGAACACATGAATAAGCCATTTCTCAGCTGAATAAACAATTTATCGTCACAAAAACATCGTACAGACGTGTTTGGTGTCTCGTATGCAAAAATGTGCCACACTCTAGCAACCGAGCGAGCTTTTTGCCACTGCAAGCACCACTTCACATTTTCCTCTGGAAATGTACATTCTAGTGTTGTGAATACTATTCTCCAAGACAAAACTTTGGCACGCTACTCCTCCCGCATTTATTGTCACAGACACATGAATGAGGTGTCAAATCGACCAGCTCGTTAAGGAGAGGTGTGCTATGACTTTTCTAAGAGATCGGGTGTACGATGCTTGTATAGCGGGCGATAAATCGGCCGAAAAATCTCCCATAGACTTAACATTGGCACCAAATTTGTGAGATCATATCTTTTGAATAGAAGGTCATAGAGACTTGGGGTTGTGCTCATTTGACTCGGCCTATCACACAGCCAACAAGTAGTGACATAGTAACTTAATATTCACGCCCTAGCAACCACTTAGGGCAGCCTAGCAACCATAAAACAACATATACAAGCCATAGCTCAGCTCCAGAAAATAGAAGAAACATGGATTTTGCCTTTTTTTGACTCAGACTGTCAACTAGTCTTTAAATATTAACTCATAAACTGTATCATCACACCATAGCAACCATATAGGGTACCCCAGTAACCCTACAAACACATGAATAAGACATGTCTCAGCTGAATAAACCATTTATCATCACAAAAACATCGTATAGACGTGTTTGGTGTCTCGTATGCAAAAATGTGCCACACTCTAGCAACCGAGCGAGCTTTTTGCCACTGCAAGCACCACTTCACATTTTCCTCTGGAAATGTACATTCTAGTTAGTGGTGCTTGCTGAAAGCAAGGCAACACTATTACTATTGTGTTTTTTGAGTCGGCAAAAAGTTTGGCACGCTACTCCTCCCGCAGTTTTTGTCACACACCCATGAATGAGGTCTCAAAACGTGCGGAATATTCGGGAATGGTGTGCTATGACTTTTCTAAGCGATCGGGGGTACGATGTTCGCCCGAAGGCGAACAAATTTCCCAAAAATCCCATAGACTTAACATTGCGACAAACTTTGACGACTCATAGCTCCGAGCGAGAATTTCACAGAAGCCTGCGATTCACCCACATTTGAAGAGGCTGACAGGCTCTGTAAGAACATACCTCACAATGGGGTAAAAGTTGCACCCTGGGGGGCAGGAGCTGCCCAATTTTCCCCATTGACCCCCATGTTATTTATTATTCTTCTTCTTCTTCTTCTTCTTCTTATTATTCTGGCCACTTTTTTGGTTCGCTTACTCCTCCCGCAAATTTTGTCACAGACCATGGGTGAGGTGTCAAATCGACCGGCTCATTTAGAGAGGTGTGCTATGACTTTTCTAAGAGATCGGGGGTACGATGGTCGCCCCAGGGGCGAAAAACGGCCGAAAAAAAATCCCATAGACTTAACATTGCCGAAAAATTTTGACGAGTCATAGCTCTGAGCGAGGATTTCGCAGAAACCAGCAATTTACCACATTTGAAGAGGGCTGAACAGGCTCTGTAAGAAAATACCTCACAATGGGGTAAAAGTTTGCACCCCTGGGGGGCAGGAGCTGCCCAAATTTTGCCAAAATTCCCATAGACTTAACATTGCGAAAAAATTTGACGAGTCATAGCTCTGAGCGAGGATTTCGCAGAAACCAGCAATTTACCACATTTGAAGAGGCTGACAGGCTCTGTTAAGAAAATACCTCACATTGGGGTAAAAGTTGCACCCCTGGGGGCAGGAGCTCCCCAAATATTTTTCCCATTGAAATTTTCTAGTATAGCATTTTACTATTCCAGGAAAAAAGTTTGGAGCACTCCTACGTCCACATTTTTGTCACAGACCCATGAATGAGGCATCAAATCGTGCGGCCTATTGAGGAGAAGTGTTAAATGAATTTTATAAGAGATTCAGGGGTACGGTGCTCGCCCCAGGG